TGCGTGTGCCTGGTACCGTGTCCCTGCAGGCTCAGGCTCGGTGTGCCTGCGTATGCACTGCGTGTGCACGGCTGCAGGGAGATGCTTAAGGGAAGCAGAGAGCATGCTCCCTGATCAGGAGTTTATCATCTGCTAAACACGGGGCCCAGCCCGAGACCAAGGGCTCTGAGTGTGAGCGCTCTTATAGACTTCCCTCCAGTGACAGCTCAGAGGGGAATAGTGGGGGATCTTGACTCGGGGCGGGCCACAGAAAGGGGCAGCTGTCCCTCCGCTCTTCAGTGTGAGCTGTGGTGCCTTCTTTGACCTTCCCAACCGGCTTTCCTGCACCACGCCAGCTCCTCGGCCTCTTCTGTCGGAGCTGGGCAGGTTCTGAGCTTCCACAGCAAGACAGCCCAAGACCCCTGTGGGTCCCACGGTGCAGGACGGCTCCAAAGTGCCCACCGTGCTCCCGGTGTCCCTGCAGTGGCTCAGAGCGACTCGAGGCAGGGCCTGACTGTTGGCCTAGTGTTCCCGCTCGTCTTCCCTCAGCCTTGCCACTCACCAGATCCTCGTCTCAGCCAGTGGTCTGCTCCCGGGGTGGACCCGGGGTCCCTCCAGGCAGCGCGGACAACGCCTGTGGCAGATGCGGGGATGGCTCAGGCTTCCTGGAGCTTTGTGAGGGGAGGCTGGCCCGCCGGGGACCTCGGGTGTGTGTGTGTGTGAGAGAGAGAGAGAGAGCGCGCGTGTGCGAGAGAGGATCGTGCACTGGCTGGCCTCATGGCTCAGTGGCGCTCAGTGAGTGTTTCTAAAGTGGTCTGTACCTCCTGGCTGCGCTCTGTTAGGGCTTGGTGACTGCTGTTCTGGACAAACAGAAGAGGGGGGGAGGGAGGGCAGGGGACTCTGCAAAGCATGTAAGTCTCGTGACGTGAGTAGACAGCCTGATCCCGAAACTGCTGCCGGGACCGCCAGGAGCCGGTGCTTGGCTACAGTGAACTTTGTCCCAAATGCAGTGCTGCTCCACTGGGATGCTTGCGTGATAGTGTCACTGCCTTCCCAGGACTGACACCCACACACAGACGCACCCTTACCCTGAGCTGATGGTGTAATGGCCACCTCAGATTGTGTCCTCAGCCACCCGCAGACGTGTCCCTGCTCTGTGCCAGCTGGTGCCATGGCCACGCACTCGCCCGTGCTTGTTGGAGGCAAGCCAGTCCCGAGCGTGTGTTCCCGGAGAGTGTTGGGTGAATGAGGCACATCTTCCCGCTACCTGAGAGTTGCCGCTGTGTGCCCACAGCCATCCCGGCCCTCCAGCCCATTGTTCACGACCTGTTTGTGCTTCGGGGGACAAACAAAGCAGACGCCGGGAAGGAGCTGGACACCCAGAAGGAAGTGGTGGTGTCCATGCTGCTGCGGCTCATTCAACACCACCAGGTGGGCAGGTGGGACCCTCACCCAGAAGAATCTCAGCCTGAGAGGCTGTGCAGGGGGACAGGAGGGGCCTACGAGGTTGGGAGCCCAGGGAGGCCCACCCAGCAGTCTGGGGAGTGTGCACGATCAAGAACCAAGACCAGCTCGTTCATAGGCGGGAGCAGGTGGCAGCCTAGCATGCTCAACAGGAACAACCCCACCTGGTGTGCTGCTCGTGCATTGCTTGAGGTGGGGCAAGCGCTTCTGTGCTCAGCTGTTCACAGAAAGCCTGGCCGTTTGCACAGGGGAGAGGCCTGCTGGTCTGTGCGTGTGACGGTGACAGCCAGGGGCACGCATGGTTGCTCGGGGTCGAGTCCTCAAGGGTCCACACAGGTCCTAGGTTGCCGGGGGGTAGCAGCCTCACTGCCGTCAGCACCCCTCCCTTTTCACTTGGCAGTCACCCGCCTTCACTTTCACTTTCCTTGGCAGTTCTCGTGAGCGAGCATTTCCACTCTGAATGTCTGCAGAGCCACAGACTTCTCAGAGAAACTTCACTTTGTTTGTTGGGGTGTTTAGTGTAGAGTGGTTACCTGTCGGGCTGCGATCAGTGTGGTCGGCAGTTTGAAACCAGCAGCAGCTCCTTGGGAGGCAAACTGGGCTTTCTTCTCCCATCAGCAGTGACAGGCTCAGAAACCCTCGCTCGGGCAGCTGTGAGTCAGCACTGACTCCGTGCAGCGAGTCTGAATCACGGACTTACCCAGAAATAACGGGAAGTAGCCCTTCACCAGGGGATGAGGGACGAGGTGGTGACGCGAGCAGAGAGGAGGGGCTGGGGTGCCAGGCTCGGGCTCTTGCCTGAGGGAGCCTGATCCCCTAGGAGTGGTGGGGGTCCCTAGACCTTCCTAATGCTGTGATCCTTTCATACAGTTCCTCAGGTTCTGGGGACCCCCATTCATAAATTTATTTTCGTTGCTACTTCATAACTGTTATTTTGCTACTGTAATGAATCGGACGACCCCTGTGAAAGGGTAGTTTGACCCCCCAAAGGGGTCAAGACCCACAGGTTGAGAACCGCTGCCCTAGATATAGCTGCTGGTTGGGGGTGGGGGTCAGATGGGGTGGGTGGCCTTTTAGGCGCTCTGGTGGGCCAGTGGTTGATGGCTCCACTCCAGGAGAGGAAGATGAGGTGGCCTGTCTCTGTCACCCTGTGGGGCTGCTCTACTCTGCCCCGTGGGGTCTCAGAGACTGGATGGCCATGGTGGTGGAGAGGGGTCTGGGGCAGGCTCTATGAAGAAGGATGCCCGTCTGTCGAGTGACCTTAGTGATGAGTGCGGGCCGCGCTGCATCTGCATCTGGTCGGAGGAGAGGAAGCTGGGCAGTCTTCGGTGGGAAACCAACCAGGGCGGCCGGAGCCCACGGGGATGGTGTGTCCCCTGTGGGGGGTGCTGGTGGCGTCAAGGCTGACGGTACACTGCCCAGGTGGGTTGACCAGGGGCCCTGCTGATGGCCGGTGCACCCGTCCCGCCCTCAGGTGCTGGAGATGTTCATACTCGTCCTGCAGCAGTGCCACAAGGAGAATGAGGACAGGTGGAAGCGGCTGTCTCGCCAGGTGGCCGACATCATCCTGCCGATGCTGGCCAAGCAGCAGGTCAGTAGTCACGCTCCTGCCTTATGGGTGGGGCCTGAGTAGGCTGGGGAGGCTGACTGGCAGGGGACTTGGCCGCCAGGCCCGCAGACACTGATGTGGCAATGAACTCTTTGGGAGTTCTGCTCCCCCTGCTGTGGTTCATGATCTGAGGAAGGTTGTGCCTGGGCCCTAAGTGCAAGGTCAGTGCTGCCTGACGGGCCTCTGGCCTCTGTGAAGAGGAGGTGGTGGGAGAGGAACAAAACCAGCAGGGACAGAGTTGGTGTCTTTGAGTGAGGAGGTGGCCCTGTTGACCTGGCAGCGTTTGTGCTGTCCCCTTGTACCAGATGCACATCGATTCCCACGATGCCCTCGGCGTGCTCAATACGCTGTTTGAGACCCTGGCCCCCTCCTCGCTGCGCCCCGTGGACATGCTTCTGCGGAGCATGCTGGTCACTCCAGGCACCCTGGTGAGTCCCCACTGCAGCTGCCTGCCAGTGCCTGGCTCTGCAAGGGTAGGCAAGACCCCAGGGTCGAACTCGGAAGGCAGGTTCCCAGGTTGGGTGGAGGCTGCTTCTCTGGGGTGCACATCCTAAAAGATGTAGCAAGTCTTGCTGCAGGAGCCCCCCTCCCCCCACGTGTCTCCTTCCAGGCCTCCGTGAGCACCGTCCAGCTGTGGGTGTCTGGGGTCCTGGCCATCTTGAGGGTGCTCATCTCCCAGTCCACGGAAGACATTGTCCTCTCTCGAGTCCAGGAGCTCTCCTTCTCCCCGCACCTCCTCTCCTGTCCAGTCATCCTGAGGTTGAGAGAGGGGGCCGGCCACCCCACACAGGAAGAGCACGGCGAAGGGAGGCATGCCAAGCACTTGCCCGAAGAAACCTTTTCCAGGTACAAAGCTGCTGCAGATCCGTGAGCCTGGACTCACCGGGGTGTGCCGCCCTGGCTTCAGTGATGGGAGTCAGGTAGTGTACCCTGCTGGGCCCGTCTGGCTGAGCTCTCAGTCTGGATTCAGAGGTGCAGGAAGCCCCCCACCTGGTCTGCCTCATGGCTCTCACA